CGATGATGTTTGGTTTCGTGCCAACTCAGCGAGGAAACTTGCAACTCACAACAGCAAGCCAAATGGACCCCAAGGTCCACTTAGCACTGCAATTCCTTATTAGGAATTACTTCAGACTAGAAAGCGTTATAGCAGTGCGGCTAGCTAAGAGTGCGCACAAGCTTCCAGCATATGCCCCGGCAACGGGTTCCACGCTCATCTACTATGACAATGATGTCACACCAGCGTTCCATTATTATGAATCTATTGGAACAGCCATTGACGTACATCGAGTCACTGGCAGCAGTCATGCACGCATTATCCAGTGCCTCACGTCCACCAAGAAGATCGGCGGCTTCGACGAGGACCTATCCAAGTTCGAAGACTTAGCCGATAGAGGTGGCGGTCCCGGTCAGCATCAGCAGGAAACTGCACCAACACAGGATGCTGAAGGAGATCACCGAGGCGATGGCCGTCTTCCAACCATCACTGAGGAAACGGAGGCAGATTTGGATGCGTACATGCTTGAGGAATGGTATCGGGAACTCACTCACGATAGAACGGCATTTGAAGATAGCATTTCCGTTGAAAGCCTGAACTGCACCGGTGCAGATGACGATGGCAGACACCGTGCTAGTTGCAGCAATTGATTCTGATGAGCAGAAAGCCATGTCCTCAACCGGCGACGGTTACGAGGATTTTGCGGTAACACTGGCTACCCAAGAGTTCGACGAAGACTACACGCTTGATTGTGATGATAATGGGCAATACGTCGAGCTCTGCTTTACCGCAGACATGGCTAAGGTTGTTCTTTCCGAGCAACAACTGGAACACCTAGGATACGGTCAGGCGGCAACGTCTTACATCGCAGCGATGAGGATATATGTAAGTGCCGCCTCCAAAAGAGCAGTGGTCGTCAAAGAGGACGATATCATGACAAAGGCGGAAATCCAGGCAAACCCCGTTAAGGTATCCAAAGCACTTTTCACCGAGCTCGAGATCTGGCTCGACAATAACTGCTTTAAGATGCAGCTACTGAGCCAAGCTAAGAACATTATGACCTCTCGGTATGTGTATAAGTGGAAATACGTTAAAAACAAGGATACCGGGGTTATGGAAAAGACCATAAGATTACGCCTGGTTCTCCGTGGTTTCATGGACCTCGACACAGTCGAGACGTTCTCAGGGACGGCTAGGCGTGGAAACCAGCGCCTCCTCGCAAGCGTGGCAGCATGCAATAAAGCATGGATCATCGCCTCGCTTGATATCGATAAGGCTTTCTTGACAGGCCTTACATATCGTGAGCTGGCAACAGCAACAGGCGAGGAGGAACGGATGGTGTGTTTCACACTGCCTCCAGGCTCTGCGTCAGTACTCAGAAGCCTGCCTGGATTTGGCTCATACGATGAGTCCAAACACTGCCTTCAGTGCTTAAAGCCAGGCACCGGGACGAAGGACGCACCTCGAGCATTCTCACTGAAGCTCAGGAGCGTCACACGAGGAATGGGGCTCAAAGGCACGTCGTACGACGAGGAGTTCGAGATGAGCCCCAACCTCCTCGCAGCCAAACGCGTTGACGACATCAACATGACTGGCACCGAAGCTGGCATCGACTCGTACGTCAAATACGTCGAATCGGCTTTCGGTGCGTGCAAGCTGAACAAGCACACGTACACAAACTGTGCTGTTCGCTATGCCAAATCTTCAGACGGAGACGTCACGATGGATCAGGACGACTATATCAAGCAACTGCGTCCCATCCATCACGCTGACCTCACCGGATCTGTTGGCGAGGAAAAGGCTAGCAAGCCGGTAGCTGACATGTTCGTCAGCCTCCGAGGAGCGTTGGCATACGCTCTCATCACACAGATCTGGCTGCTGGTATATGTTGTGCCACTTCATCGTGTTCAGGAACCCACGTACCTACAGGTACGGCGTCTAAACGCTATAGTCAGGAAGCTGCAGACCTGCCCCACGAAGATTGCGTATCCTGCGATGACACCCGCGGGCGAGGTCGACATTCACAGTGACTCGGGCTATAGGCGTTTAACCGGCGACGAGGACGACGAGGCGAAGGGCTACGGCATCCGCGGCTGCAATGTCCTTCGCCGGGGACGCTCTTTACGCGGATACGCGTCTGTCATCCATTTGGTGGACGCGTACTGTAAGTCACACCGACTACAGGTGCGCTCCAGCTACTCAGCGGAAACGCTAGCGGCAGCGCACAATCTCGAGGACAGCTACAAGACAATCGTCACCCTGCACGAGCTCAGCGCCGGACCAATGACACCGACTGAGCTCAAGAACGTCATGGAGTCGGGCGGCTTATGCATCAGGGTATCCTTGACCATTGATGCTGAGTCGGTCTTTAAGTCCCCCACAAGCAAGGACCTCAAGACCCCGACCGAGAACACCCTGCTCGGCCATATCAATTGGATACGGCACATGATGAGTAAGGGGATCGTTCATTGTGTGCAATGGTGCGACACTCGAGATATGACCGCAGACGGCCATACTAAAGGGAGCATCGACAGAGATGGCATCCTGAAAGCTATGGCTGGCCGCCAGACCTTCGAGCACGAGGTCAAGCGGTATGTGCCGCACCGTGAGGAAGGCCAGAATCAGACAAAACGCTGGAGTTCTCGCTAGCGCCCCCTCAAACTTTTATCAGGTGGCGCTGCCTCATTTTTCATCGGTGCGTTCAGCCGGAAACGGCTCTAGGCTCCGCAGCTTAGAGGGGCGACGTCAGAGACGTTCGTCTCCCTCCCTCCCCGACTTTGAGGGAAAGGGAAAGGCGATAATCCGTCGCCATTCCCTGGCTCAGCTGCGCAGCTCAATTCTATACTCTTTACTTGACAGTACTATCTGGGAGAGAGAAAAGAGATGTCGGTCCCCCTACCGACATCCTCCTCTACTCCACCTCTTACTATTTCATCTCAACCACATGTATCTCGCCTTGCCAGCTACTTCCGACTGCTGGTCCCAGCTAGATGGGAACGGCATCCAACCTGCAATTTTGGCAGTTTCTATATACCATTACCAGCTACACTTTCTGGCAGCGAGCATGGCTGTAAAACCTCAAGATTTGCAATTTCCGTGTTCAATGACTTGGCACTTGGCCCTGCGCCCCCACCTAATCAACAACTCGCGAGGGACAGTGGGTGCCTGCAGCAAGCTCCTTCCTGATGATGCTCATATACATCACCAATATAATTTTGGCTTAGCGGAGTGTTTTATTCACACATGTTTTGGATGTTGGGACGATGTGGCACACATGCAATACCTGTTTACTGCAAGAGCCCGCAACAAGTACTACATCATCTTCTCAACCGCAAGTGCGTAGTTATGGAAGTTCTACGATGTCCTGACCCGCGCCTGCGCCGTCACCGTGCCGCGCGGCCGTCGAGTCACTCACACTTTGCTACCAGATGCGACTCCTGCGCTTCAAGCTGCGGTACTCGCACTTGGAGCGCACCCTCCGTGCACTCTTCTCTTGCCCCTTGCTCTTCAACTGCCGTGACGGGGTACTTCCTCCTCTTCCGTGTGTGCCCGAGGCGTTTGGGTGGGTGGGTGGGGGGGGACCGCGGGGCGCCACCCGCGCGATTGCGAAGGAACGAAGTCGTCACGTGCGTTTTTTTTGTTTTATAATTATCATTATTATTTTTATTATCATTATTATTATTATTATTATATTATTATTATATATATATAATATATATATATATATATATATATACATATATATATATGTCTTCTTCGCCTTATTATTATTATTATTATTATTATTATTATTATTATTATTATCATCATTATATTTTTTCTCCTCTATCTCTCTCTTTCTCTCCTCCCCCAAAGGGCTTACAGCTGCGGTAAGAAGTTCGAGGGCGCGAAGGGTATCACACCTCGCTCCCGAGACCCGCCTCTCGAGTCTCGCCCTCCGTTGGGCGCTACTCCGGACGGGATTCGGGGCGCAGGGGTGCGTATGAACCCCCCCTTTTCCCTCCTACCTCATCCTTTACCGCTGCCCTCCTGGCTCAGGTATTGGAAGACAGGGCGGAGATTGTGGCGAGGGATAAAGCCCTCATCGTAATCCTCTTTCCTATCCTCTACCTACGGAAACCCTCGGTAGGTCGTGCCCGTCGGTCCTCCCCTACCGTTCTCACGTCCTCCTTTCCCCCTCCTCCTCCCCCGTCCCCCTGGCCCAACACGGGCCCCCGCCTCGCGCCAACGCCGGCGGCCCCGCGCCCTCGCTCGGCCGCCGCGGCCGCCGCCGCGCCGTCGTTGCCGAGGCGGGAGCTCCCTGGCCCTCTGGCCCTTCCTGTGCTTTTCTGGCCTTCTGGCCCTGCTTTCCATCTCCCCTCTCCCTCCTTCCTCCTCCGCCCTCCTCCCTTGCCCCTCTGGGTCGGGTCCCCTTCTCTTTCCGTGTCTCTCCTGATGATTCTGCTGATCCTCCCCGTCATGCGCCCTTTTTCCTCCTCGTCGCCTGTCGTCCGTGCGCACGTATTCTTGCGCGCGTGCCCCCGTTCACTTCCTCCCTCATGGCGGCCGTGTGGGACCGGCGTCTATCGGTCTCGGGACCTTGCTGGTCGAAGGCCACTTGGCGATGGCGCGCTTGCTGTCTCGAGGTTCGGGGCTTCGGTCTCCGACAAGACCTGGCCCTCCGGGGCGAGTCGTCGTGGATACCAGGACGGGCTCGCTCGCCGCCCTTCGTGCCCTGGGCATTGGGGCGCGAGGCCAAGGCTTCTGCAAGGCGCTGCGTGACGGCGCAGCCCTCCGCCCGCCCTCTCGGCTCCGCCCAACTCACCCCCTCCGCGCGCCCCGCTTGCCCCCTTTCCCTCCTCTCCGTCTCCCTCCTTCCCCTTGGAGTCCTCCCTTCCCCCTGCGCCCTTGACAAACATGCCCATGACACTGTCCACCGTGCCTTCCGTATCCAGAGTCAGCGTCTCTCCGTCCTTCGTTGGTCCTGCCCGCCTTCGCCCCTTCTTTCCTCGCCCCGTCCTTGGTCCTGCCCGCCCCTGCCCTTGGCTCGCAGCCGTTTTGGCACGGGCCGCTCGAGGGGGCCGTCCCCGGCACTTGAGCTATGAAGTCTCTGGTGGCCTCCGCGCGCCGCGTGCTCCCCTGCACCCGGCATCCGCGGGCAGTGTCGCCTCAGCGTGGCGGCGAGCCGCCCGCGCCGGTGCCGACCGTGCCGCTGGAGGAAGTGGAGCGGGGGGAGGGGCCGGGGTCCGTCGGAGATGTCGGCGAGGACGAGAAGGTGCCCATGCTCGCCGCGCTCGAGGACCCTATCCAGAACCCATCCAGGGATCAGAGCGGGTGCGGGGGCCCCGTCAAGACCCCACCCAGAGCCTGGGTGGCTGCGAGAACCCATGTCCCATCATACTCAAAGGCACCCTTCTAGAGGAGGAATAGGAGGAGGAGGAGGAGGAGGAGGAGGAGGAATAGGAGGAGGAGGAGGAGGAGGAGGGGAGGAGGAGGAGGAGGAGGAGGATGAGAGAAGATGCAGGAGGAAGAGGGAGGAATGAGGAAGGAGAAGGAGGGGGGGGGGGAGGAGGGAGGGAGGAGGGAGGGAGGGGGAGGAGGAGGTGGAGGAGGAGTGGAGGAGGAGGATCCGTCCTCCTTACCCCCGTCGTCGTCGTCGTCGTCCGTCGTCGTCGTCGTCGTCGTCGTCGTCGTTGTCGTTGTCGTCGTCGTCGTCGTCGTCGTCGTCGTCGTCGTCGTCGTCGTCGTCGTCCTTCTCCTCCTCCTACTCCTCCCTCCTCCTCCTCCTCCTCCTCCTCCTCCGCCGCCTCCTCCTCCTCCTCCTCCTCCTCCTCCCGAGGATGCAGGCCAGGGTGGTGCCCAGAAGGGGCTGGGGGACGCGAGCGCCGCCGCCCTCACGGACGCCACCAGCCTGCAGGAGTCGAAGGTGCCCGGCACCCCCGAGAGCGCGCCGCCAGCCGAGGCGACCCTGGTTCTGACTGCCTCGCCCTGACCTCCTCTCCTCCTCCTCCTCCCCGTCCTCCCTCCTCCTCCTCCTCCTCCTCCTCCTCCTCCTCCTCCTCCTCGTCCTCCTCCTCCTCCCCCCCTCTCCTCGTCCTCCTCCTCCTCCTCCTCCTCCTCCTCCTCCTCCGTAGCCATTTTGGCTCAAGATGATTGGTTCCCCTGGGGACCGCACGGATACCGCTAGTCCGCGGCCAGACCACCGTTCGCCTTCACCGTGGGAGTTGGGCGCCCACACCCAGTCCTTTCCAGATCGCGCTGCCACGGCCCACCGTGTGTGCTGCTGCCTGGTGTCGTGGAGATGCCACCGCCGCATTACCGTTCGGAGCAGGCGCTTCCTTGGTACTGCAAGAGCTGCTGCGGGCCCTCGGGGAGACCGTGGTGGAATCATGCAGAGGCGCGGCAGTGTGCGAAGTGCAAGCTGGGCAAGGGACTGGTCTTCCACAGCGTGCGCCAGCCCGCGGCCCCCTCCCAGCGGAAGAAGGGCAATCAGGGCGGCAGCGGCAACGGCTACTGGGACGACTCCGTCAAGGTGGCCAAGCTCAAGTCCGAGCTCGCCGAGGCCCGCAAGCGGCTTGCCGCTGTGCAGAGGCCGCCGCCTGGCGGGGAGGACGTGCAGATGGAGCCGGCCGCGGACGGAGACGGCCCCGAGTCCGTCGCCAAGGACAGGCTACGCGAGGTCGGCGACCTCATCGGCAAGCTCAAGGGCATCACCGAGCCGTCGGTCGTGGCCACGCGCGACAAGCTGCTGGCCGAGCAGGCCGAGCTGCGGGCTAGGGTGGCGGAGTCCCGACCGCTCGGACAGCGCTTGCGCGAGATGGGAACTCAGTTCACCAGGCTGCAGAAGCTGCGCGACGACCAGCAGACCAAGCTCGATGGGCTGCAGGCGCAGTTGCGCGACCTGCAGGAGAAGGAACGGCTCACTCGGGACAAGCTGGCGGCCCTCGACGCTAGCATGGAGGAGCTGGACCAGGAGCGCAAGAGGCTTCAAGGGCAGGTTCCGACGCCTGGCGACAAGGCGTCGCTCGACGAGCCGATCAAGGGGGTTGGTGCCACGCTCGAGGGCCTCGGGATCTTGCTCCAGAGCCTGGGCGCCGATCACCAGCTGTCGGGCAGCCTCACGGCGAGCTTCCAGGAGCTGCAGAGGTTGCAGGAGGAGGAGGCGGCAAAGTTGGCTGCCCAGAAGGCGCAGGCGGATGCTGGGGCCGAGGCTGGTCCCGACGTCGAGCAGGCCGAGCGGCAGGACGACGCGGCAGCGCCTCGCACACCACAGCCATCTGCCTTCTCCGACGACCCTGAGTTCATGGAGGAAGTCGTTGCGGCTGGGGGCGAGAAGCACAGGCTGGAGGAGATCTTCATGCGTTGGGGTGCCAAGGTCAAGAGGCCCAGGCTCACCCCTGCCTAGCATGGCTCCACGGCGATGTTTTGCGTGTCTTGTGTGGTTCGTCCTCCTTTGTCGCACCATGGCGTCGGTTTCAAGTATCACCACCGTGAACGTGTCCTCGGGCGGCCCGCTCGTCGACTTCCTGCCCACGTGCTCGAGTTTATGCATCGCGGTGCAGGAACATCATGCCAAGGCCGAGGGCGATGCTTTGGCGAAGTTGCAGAATAAAGTAAGAGCTGCTGGGTACCATGGTATATGGGAGCCCGCCCTACCTGGGCAGGGAGTTGGCAGCAGAGGCGGGGTTGCGGTGCTGGCCCCGCTGCGGGTGGTCATCACCAAACCCCCAGGCCTGGACAGTCACGTGCTGCAGGAAGGCAGGATGATGGCGGCCCACGTCCACGCTGGGGTGAAGGGCGGCTTCGTCATGCTGTCGTGCTATTTCATTGTGGACGTCAAGCTGTCGCCCGAGAACCTGGCCATGCTGTACAAGCTGTACCAGTATGTCAGGTCGCTGGAGGCCATGGGTGTTCCGTGGATCGTAGGAGGCGACTTCAACATGGAGGTAGGCGAGCTCGGCCCGTTGTCCTGGCTCCAGTCGGCCAATGGCGTGGTGCTGGCGCCGAGAGAGCCGACTTGTCTTCAGAGCCTTCCTGGCCGCACCATTGACATGTTCATGGTTTCTTGCCGTTTGCTGCCTCGCGTTCGGCAACCAGTGGTCGTCGACGCGGAGACGTGGCCGCATCTACCAGTGACCATGGAGCTCTCCGCCACGGCTTTTGACGCGAAGGTCAGGAGGCTTGTCGAGCCACGCGGCTTTCGGAGGCCGCCTGCGGCGGGGTGCGCGAGGTTCCCCCCCGACTGGGACCCGACCTTGGCGATCATCCAGAGCGCGTCGCACAGCGAGGGCATCACCAGGGCCTGGGACGTCGTGCTCAGCGGCATCGAGTTCGAGCTGCGGGGCCGCTACGACGTCGTGAAGGACGTGGCGGGGTACTCCACGGTGCCAGGCCCCCCGACCTTCGAGCTGGCGAGTTTTCACCCTGTCGTGAAAGGTGCCTGGAGCAGGAGGTCGGCGGACACCCAGGCCTGGGCGCAGGCTGCGCGCTGGGCTCGTCACCTCAGGAGGGTTCGAGTGGCCTTGCAGAGCTTCGTGCTCCAGCTACGCCCGCAGCAGGTCTTCGAGCTCGGCAGCGTCGGCGAGGCGCACGTCGACGGTGTGCCTGGCCTGGGCGATGGGGCACCCCCTGCTGCGGAGGTCGTCGGAGTGGCTGGTCTCTCCTCCGATGGTGGTCGGCCTCGGTCGAGAGCTCAGCGACACCAGCCCCCGCGACGGGCAGGCGAGGACCTATCGTGGGACGCCGTGCACTCCAAGGCGGCGCGCCACCTGCTGGAGTGCGAGAATTTCTTCCAGAGAATCTGGCGGAGGAAGGGAGTCTGGCCGCACCTGGACGCCGAGCCGTCGGCTTCTTCTCGCGTGGCATACTTGCCTTAGCGCAGGCAGACTTCGAGCAGCAGGTCGACCGCATCCTGAGTATCTCCTCCGATGCTGAGGCCAAGCATGAGAAGGCCGTGATGCAGAGCTGGAGGCAGTGGGCGCAGGCAGCTTTTGCGGCTGGAGCCAAGGGAGCTCACCGATTCATGAAGCCCAAGGCTCTCCAGGAGATCGTGGACGGAGGCAATGGGCTACAACATGGGTACGTACTGGCTGATCGTAAGCTTGAGTATTGGGAAAGCTTCTGGGTGCGGCATGGCGGTGAGCTGGCTCGCCGACCTGTTGATGCTGACACTTGGGAGCAGCTGCCAAGGCTTGAGGCGGCCGACGTACTCAAGGCAATCCGTTGTTTCTCTTGGCAGACAGGCGTCGGGCAGATCAACATCGCGCCCAGGGCCATGGAGCACCTCTCCCACGGGGCGCTGACGGCTATGGCGCGCCTCTTCGAGCGGTGCGAGCACCTCCTGCTGTGGCCAGACGGCAGATTCCTCTCGAAGCTCGTGAGACTCCCCAAGCCAGGGGGTGGGGAGCGCCTGATTGTGCTGATGAACACGCTGGTCAGGATCTGGGGACGGGCGAGGCGGCCTGTCTCGGCAGCGTGGGAGAAGGCCCATGCGCTACCAGAGGTCTGGGGCCACACTGGAGGCAAGTCGTCGAGTGATGCGGCCTTTGATTTGGCGCTCACCAAGGAGATGGCGACCCTGTGCGATGACGACGCCATCATTGTGCTGCTGGACATGCTCAAATGCTACGAGCTGGTCAGGCATGATGCCATTTTGTTGGAGTGCAGGGCCAGTGGATACCCTATGCGAATGGCGTTCATGCTTGTGCAGATGTACCAGCAGCTGCGCTCGGTGCACTCGTATTCTTCGTATTCAGTGGCGCGCAGGGCGTATCAGGGCATCCTGGCAGGCTGCACCCACGCCACTACGCTTCTCATGGTGTTGTTGACTCGCAGCATTCGCCAGACGATGTCGGTCGCTCCTCAGGTTCAGCCCAAGGACTTGGTGGACGACGTCGCGCTGTGCTGGGTCGGCAACGACCCGAGCGGGGTGCGAGAAATGGCCATTGCCACTCGTGCTTTCTGCAGGGCTGTCCGGCCCCTCGGGCTGGTGCTGCAGATGGATAAGTCTGGGCACCTTACGACGTCCAGGCGCACCAGCTACCACTTTCAGAAGTACGCCAGGCTGCTGAAGATCGCTGGCAAGAGGCACATGCGGTATCTTGGCCACGACCTAGCTGGGTCGTCGGCCACAAGGGCCGTGCAGAAGGGACGCCTGAAGGCCATGCACGGAAAGAAGGCCAGCGTTCGAGCACTGCAGAAGGGAGCAGGACGACAGCGGGCGGCTCGGCTCTGGGCCACGGGTGTGCTGCCATCCGTGGGGCACGGAGCCACGGTCAGCGGCATCAGCGACACGGAGCTGCAGCAGATGAGGACCATGGCTGGCGTCTTCTGTGGCTACAAAGGGTCGGGCTCCCTGACGCTGTACCTGGCCGCGCAGCAGTGGAGCTTCGACCCCATATTCCACGCTACCTTCAGCATCGTGGGGCAGTACGCGGCGTGGGTGTGGGATGGGCGTGTGACGCTCTCCCGACTGCAGCGGGCCTGGATGGGCTTGCGTGACTCCTGGGAAGCCCGCCACACTCACGTCACGTGGGCCAGTGCGCAGGGCCCGCTTTCGGCCTTGTGGTTGTCCCTCAGGAGAGTCAACTGGAACATGGCAAGTTCTACAATCTTGGTTGACGATGAGGGCCTGCATATCAGTTTGCTGCAGTATTGTCCCAGTGAGGTGCTGTTTTTCCTGCGTCGCAGCCTCGACCGTTGGCAGAGCCATCGTATCCTCGACCAGCTGCCTGAGGCGCCCCCAGCCGATGGTGACGGCAGGCGGCAGCAGCATGTGTGGCTTCGTGCGCTTCGACTGGGACACGCCTCCTTGGCGCCTGGCCACAGAGGGGCTCTGGCCAAGCTGCAGTCCAACGGGTTCTGGTCGCCGCAGCGCCGCATGCAGGCTGGCTACGGCGGCGACGGTTCGTGCGAGTTCTGCGGGGAGGCCTGCTGCGACCTCGAGCATGAGATCTTCGGCTGCACGGTATTGCATCAGCAGCAGGAGGACGAGGAGACGGAGCCGTACCCCGAGGAGGTGGCCAAGAGGAGGAAGGACATCCTGGAGGCAGCCCCGTGGCGCGACGGGGGCCAGGTGCAGGACTTCTCGGCCGTCGACGTGCTCTACGCGCTGCCCCTGAGGCCTGCTTTCAGGCCGCTGCCTGCACGTGCTCAGGCTGAGCGCGAGTGGGGGGCGATCGACATGCCGTGGCCGTCGAAGTTGTACGGGGACGGGTCCTGTCTTGAAAGTGATTTCCCTGAGGAACGGCGCTGTGGCTGGGCCGTCGTAGCATTGACCCGAGACCTGTGGCCATGCAAAGCTTTGTTCGGGAGCCTGGGGGGCCCTATCCAGACGGTGCCCAGGGCCGAGCGCGTTGCTGGTCTCAAGGCCCTGCAGAGGGCCCAGAGGCCAGCCACGTACGTGACTGATCATTTACAGCTGCAGGTCGAGGGAATGGCCTGGGAGGGTCGTCATGCTTCTGCCAGAGCGCCTCACGCGTCCATCTGGCGGAGCATCCACGAGCTGTATAGAGGCGACCCTGTCAGGCCCGTGTTTGTTTGGACGAAGGCCCATCGGACCGTCCTCGAGGGGTTTGAGGCCTGCCTGGCCTCCCAGGAGCCCCTGGAGCATTTTTTCGGTAATATGTGGGCTGATGTTTTCGCCCGCGTGGCAGCGGCTGATTTCCTTGGATCCACCTCCGTGGTCAAGGCTCACAAATTTTATCTGCTTCGGGCCCAGGACACGATGCGTTGTCTGGCCTGGGCTGCCGAGCGCGTGGCCCGCCTCTCCACCCCGATACTCCGTGCGCCTCCGAAGGCTGTCTTTCGGCCCCGCCGTCCGCGGCGGCCGACCGATCACGACTTTGTGGTCTTCGCTGGGGGAGCTATTCGATGTCGAGCCTGCTGGAGGCTTGCAGCGACGGCCTCGTCGTTGAAGTCTCTGGCCTCCCGTGCATGCGACCCCCAGGAGGTCGGGCCAGGACACCAGGTCCAGGCCTTGGATCGAGTTTTGATCTGTGTTAAGTGCGGGGCGCACGCTGTGCGCCCCAATCGGCTGTCGGTCGGCCTGTCTCGAGCGTGCAAGAGGGCTGGGACGGGGTCGGCGGGAGCTGGGAGTGGGGGGGACGGAGCTATCGCGTCGATGCTCGAGCTGGCTCGAAGGGGCCTGCATCCCAAGACGGGCGAGCCCCTCGAGCCGCTCGTCTTCTCGGAGCTCGGGGTGCCTGCGATGCCGCAGCAGGCGCCCGAGCCCGAGGCACCTGACTAGTGGGCGGAAGTGCTGGCGGGGGGCGCGGTGCGAGTGGGGACTGCCCGGCGTTGCGCCGTTAGTGACCCTCGCACCGTTGCTCCCCAGCCCCGCGCACGGAAGGAGCAGATCCGCTGCACTTAAGGGCCCCTTAAGTGCAGCGGGCTGTCTTGGCCTCCATCGCGTCGATGCTCGAGCTGGCTCGAAGGGGCCTGCATCCCAAGGCGGGCGTGCCCCTCGAGCCGCTTGTTTTCTCGGAGCTCGGGGTGCCTGCGATGCTCAGCAGGCGCCCGAGCCCGAGGCACCTGAATAGTGGGCGGGCGCGGGCGGGGGGCGCGGTGCGAGTGGGGACTGCCCGGCGTTGCGCCGTTAGTGACCCTCGCGCCGTTGCTCCCCTGCCCCGCGCACGGCGCGGAGAGCGCCCCTTGTTGGATGAGGGCCCTCTCTCGTTCTTTTTTTCGAGGCGTGTTCGTGATTCACCTGCGCGCTCTCGGCACTGTCCTCACTGTCCTCCTCCTCCTCCTCCTCCTCCTCCGCTTCCTTCTCCTCCTCCTCCTCCTCCTCCTCCTCCTCCTCCTTCTCCCCACTCCCCTCCTTTCCCTGCTTCCCCCCCTCCCCTACTGTTCGTTGTGAGTAGTACTCTGTCTCCCTTGCCAGCGTCCAGATTTGCATTTGCCCCTCTCGCCTATTGTTCTTCGTACGCAGGATTTGAACATAGCTTTTGTAATGCTGTTTGCCCCCCAATTCTGCAGCGGTGGCCGCATTTCAGGATCGGTACATGGCTTCTGTCGTTCGGAATGGCGCTCTCGCTCCATCGTGGCCCACATACCTGGATCCGATTCCTTCCTCTTCAATGCGGCCCCCTCCTTTTCTTTCCTCCACCTCCCACTGCTGCTGCTGCTACTGTTGCTGCTGCGCTCCTGCCCTTGACAAGGCACCGTCGCCGATTGTACAGCAAACGATCGGTTAAGTCCTGCATCTGCGCCTTGGAAATCAAGGTCTGCTAGGGCACCCTACTCGGTGGCTAGAAGAGAATTCATAGCAATGAGAAGGGATGGGCGGATGGGTAGGATGTCAAATGTGGGGCGATCGCACCTAGCTTACCCCTCCTCCCTTTCCCTCTTCCTCCCCTCCCCTTCCCTCTCCATTCCTCCCCTCCCCACTCTTCCTTCCGCTCCGCGGCCCAGGCGCGCGCCTGATTCCCAAGAGAGGTTGGATGCTAGAAGGGTGCTCTGTGTGATCTTGAAGGCTGGGGGTCGCGCCACGTAATGTTCGAACAGTGCCTACGGTGCTGTGGTGCGGTGCTAAACGTGCAGTGTGAGGCGTGCGGCGCGTGTGCGCGCTGTGCCATGCGTGCTGTGCGTGCCATGCCAGGAGTGCCGCCCCGTGCGGCCGCGCCACGCGCGTTGAGCCGTGCCTTGCCATGCCGTGCGTGCTTTGCGTGATGGGCATGCCCGGACGTGGGTGCCACGCCGTGCTTGCCGTCTCGTGCCATTCCGTGTTCTTGCTCGCGCCCGCGTTGTACTTCAGTGCGAAGTGTTGGCGCTGCCCGTATCCCCGCCAGAAGCGGTTGCCCTGATCGACGGGTCCACTGCTCCGACCGTTTCTGCGGCGAATGGTCACAGAGTCTGGGAGGCTCGCTGCGCGCGAGGCCGTCTTGGCCTGGGAGACAGTACGTTTCACGGGCGTTGGGTCGAACAAGTCATTGGGCGGGGGGGACCGGGGCTGGAAACCCGGACCCCCCCCAAGACGACAACGACGGCGGCGACGACGACCACGACCACGACCACGGCGGCGGCGGCGGCGGCGGCGACGACGACGACGACGACGATGACGACGACGACGAATCCGTCGCAAGGGGGGGTACGCACCAGTTTCGAGCCCCCGCCCCGCCCCCCTTCCTTTTCAGGCGTTTTGGGGGGGGGGGGATGGGCGGGGCGCCGGTGTCGAGACCCCCTCCTTCCTTTGCCGTCGCCAGGCGGGGGGGCGCCGGTTTCTAGCCCCCACATCCCCCCCTCCTCCTCCTCCCCCTCCCCCTCCCCCTCCCCCTCCTCCTCCTCCTCCTCCTCCTCCTCCTCCTCCTCCTCCTCCTCCTCCTCCTCCTCCTCCTCCTCCTCCTCCTCCTCCTCCTCCTCCTCCTCCTCCTCCTCCCCCCCCCCCGCCCAACGACCACGAAACGCGCTCCGTCCGGTCTGGGCCGGCCGTGTGCCTATAGCATACCGAATCCAGCAGACGTGCCCCCCGCCCAGTCTGCTTGTCTCTTGGGCGCAGTGTTGCGGATGGCAGCGTGCCCGGGCGAGGAGGGAGAACCGGGAGGAGGAGGAGGAGGAGGAGGAGGAGGAGGAGGAGGAGGAGTAGGAGGATGAGGATGAGGAGGATGAGGATGAGGAGGATGATGAGGATGAGGATGAGGATGAGGAGGATGAGGAGGATGAGGATGTGCGGCGTAGCCTTGTAGATAGATGTGCGAAGCTTGAGTGATCTCACCCGCGCAAAGCAGATGGGGCGTTTTGAAAAAGGCCTCGCCTTCGGCGCGCCCCGCCCTCGGCGGAAGCCGGCGGAAGGGCGGCGAAAGGCTGCGGAAGTAAAACGGCGGCGGACCCGCCGGCTGAAGCCGGCGGAGGCTCGGCGGGGGGCGGCGGAAGTAAAGGGAGACGTCAACATTTTTAGGTTCAGGGTCAGGAGGGGAAGGATTAAGGAGGAGGAGGATTAAGGAGGAGGGAGGATTCCTCCTCCTTAATCTTTCTCCCCCTTTTTTCCCCTTTTTCCTCCTCCCTCCTCCTCCCCCTCCTCCTTAATCCCCCTCCTCCGTAATCCTACCCCTCCTTACAGGGTTTCCGAAATCTGTCAAATCACGTGGTTTCATATGCACGTCGAAGTCGAACTTTGGCAGGTATGCGAAGGCGACACATCCGTGCCACTTGAAACACGAGACACCGCCCAGGGAGGAGGAGGAGGAGGAGGAGGTGGAGGAGGAGGAGGAGGAGGAGGAGGGAGGGAGGTTTCGGCCTCGGCGCGCGCTGGCGCCCTGGAGCGCCCCTCCCCCCGACATTCCCTGGAGCACCTCAGGCGAGGCAGTGGCTCCAAAAAGCCGCCTTCCTCCTCCTCCTCCTCCTCCTCCTCCTCCTCCTCCTCCTCCTCCTCCTCCTCCTGAGAGTTGGAGCGCGGCGTGCAATGCACGGATTGCACCAGCTGGACGTGAGAATCGGCATTGCAGCTAGATGCTCGAACCATCAATAGCTTCACCCACGCTGAAACGCTTGTGTGGTTTCACATGCGCGCTGACATTTAATTTTGGCTGGCGTGCGAAGACGACGTTAAGGCAACATTCTTGACGCTTCGCGTAACCCGACCAGCCCATCCAGAGCCGACGCCCATATTATCGAAGACGCCTACGGCGAATCACCGCCGCCCCCTGCCTTTTTGGAAACGCCGATGTGGCCGAAAGTTGGACTAGAGCTTGGCCAAGCTATCGGACCATGAGTTCCCCGAGTCGGTTTGGAAAGCTTTCGGGGAACACATGGGAGAGAATGATTATGAACAGGAAGAGGAAGAGGAAGAAATAGAGTAGGAGGATGAGGGTTGTTAGGAGTCTCTTGGGGCACCCTTGGGGTCTGTTGGGGGCTTCTTGGGGGCCTCTTCGAGGCCTCTTGGAGGCATCTTGGGGGCCTCCTTGGGCCTCTTGGGGGCCTTTGGGGGCTTCCTGGGGGTCTCTTTGGCCGTCTTAGGGCGTTCCTGGTCCGTCTGACGCCGTCTGGAGCCGTCTTGGGGGCCTCTCTGGGCCGTCTTGGGGCCCTCTTGGGGCGCTTCAGGGCCGTCTTGGAGGCCATGTTGGGCGTCTTGGAGGCCTCTTGGGCCGTCTTGGGGCGCTCTTGGGGCCGTCTTGGGGGGCCCTTGGGCCGTCATAGGGCCTTCTTGGAGGCCTCTTGGGCGATCTTGGGGGCCTCTTGGGCCGTCGGAAGGCCGAAAAGAAGAAAACGCAAAAAACCTTCAAAAACCTAAGGAAAACCAATGATTTTGGCCTCTTCGGGCTCTCCTGGAGAACGTCTTGGAGGCCTCTTGGGCCATCTTGGAGGCATCTTGGGGCCATCTTGGCCGTCTTGGAGGGCATCTTGGGCCGTCTTGGAGGCATCTTGGAGCCATCTTACCCGTCTTGGAGGCCATCTTGGCCGTCTGGGAGGCATCTTGGAGGCCATCTTGGGCCATCTTGGCCGTCTTGGAGGCCATCTTGGAACCGTCTGGGGCAGGAAATTGGGGAATTGAGCTCCTGGGCATCCTTTCCGGGTGGCCGGCGGGACGGGCCGAAGCCCACTGGGGAGTTCTTTTAGAAAAAGAGCCAAAACCAAAACCTGAAACATCCAGCACGCCGTGCACCCCTGCAGGCAGGGGGCGGCGGATCCAGCTGCCTTCGGCAAGTTCCGCCACCGTGCCAGCCCAACACATTGGTTTTGGCCGCCCAGGGGCCCCCAAAAGTAGGGCCGGTTCAGTCAACGAGACGCGTCCCGGAGAGGGGTGGGTCCCTTAAAAAACTACAAAAAACCCTAACAGGACAGGACTTGGCATTCTTCCACGCCCCAACGTGCGAAGGCACGGTGGCGGATTTGCCCTGATCAGGGAAGTTGGGCAGCAGACAGAGGAAAAAAAGGGCCAGGTAAGCCGTCATACCCCAAGAGGGGGAAGATGGCCGAGGAATCGAAGGCGGAGGAGGAGGAGGAGGAGGAGGAGGAGGAGGAGGAAGAGGACGAGAAATTGGGGGAGGGTTAGGAGGAGGAGGAGGAGGAGGAGGAGGAGGAGAGGAGGAGAGGAGAGGAGGAGGAGGAGGAGGAGGAAGAGAGGGGAAGGCGGCGGAAGGAGGGGGAGGAGGAAGGAGGAGAAAGGAGGAGGAAGGAGGAGGAGGAGGAGGAGGAGGAGGCGCAGGAACAGGAGCATCAGCAGGAGCAGGAGGAGGAAGAGGAGGAGGAGGAGGAGAAGGTGTCAGCCAGAACGCTGTTGTCACAAGTGTTACCGACCTGGGAATCTACATCCAAGACGAGCAAGTGCAATCCCAGTGGAATGAGCTAGCCCCAGAGCGCTTCGGGCAGTTGTGCGACTGGGGCTACGCGAACGGGGACTTCAGCTACGTGGCCATGGCACTCAAGGCTAATCACGAAAGCATGAAGGCGACCATCGAGAAGGATATCGCCAATGAGACCCAGAGGTTTGACCAGAGCGACGCATTCCGCATGATTCATATGATGTTCAAGACAAGCGCGCTGTTAACCAGCGTTGTCAACAGGAACGCGTACGTGGAGAACGAGGCCCATAATTTCCACAACGATGTCCATGCACAAAGCAACATGTCAGATCATATGGCCAAGTCGACGCAGGGCATTTCCAACTCCTGTTTGGGAGCAGGAGGAAGTATCGGCAAGCCTGTGAGCGAATACAAGGCAGCACAACAGCTAATTGCGTTCCAGGGGCGCCGCGCTACCTTCGGGGAGTGGAACCAGAAACTTCTCAGCGCTTTTGTGCAAGTTAAGCGCGCATTTTCCGCAGGAGCCTCGACAACCTGAACGCGAACCCGAGACCATGGACGGAGTGCAATTTGGCGACGAAGAAGACGATTTCATGCGCACCATGAACGGTCGGTTCATATGCGACACAACGAACCCAGACAAACATAACGATGCTGATGCCAAAGGGGACTACGAGCGAACCGGAGATGATTGCCGCAAACAGAGGAGTCCTTGGGACCAACAACAGGAAAAACTCGAAGGCACGGAACCCCGGGGCAAACTCAAAGGTCCCCACGAAGGTGAAGGGTTGTTTGGGTACCAAAAAATACGAATTGTATTCTGCCGTTGCAGGGGCTACCCTGTCCCAGAGGATGACCTTGCCGTGGAACCGGAGCTGACCAAGAAGGTAAGCGAGGGATCGTCAAGATTGCAGCAATGGAGCGCTTTGGTCGACACCCTCGAGAAATATGGTCCATCGTATTATCTTTGGCTACCACTTAGAGTTAACGCTCCACGGGTAATCATGCACCCTGCAGGCGATTTGTTTTTCGATTCGTGCCGGGATTGCTAGCGTAGCCCAGAGGCGTTCAACGTCGAAAGCTACCAGAAGCTTTGATTTGAATGAGGACTGGGCAATGAAACAACGGTTGGACGCGGATGCCCAAAGCGCGGGCGCCATGGACATCGACGCTATCCAGAAGGATGAGGAGGATTACGATATCAGTACGAGGGCTTCAACGACGGATATCACGATCAAGACGGTAAGTGGTGGTCCCGGGTTGCTGGAGAGGTGGACGAGGTTGCCCAAGGCAAAGGTTCAAGCAAGGGGCCGACGCCGCTATGCTACCGGCGTGGCGGACACGGTCACATTGCGAACGACTGTGTCGCTATGGGGATCTACAAGGGGAAAGGAGGAGGTACAGGAGGTACCAAGGGAGCGAAGGGGTATGGCGCCAGTCAGAAAGGAGGAAGGGGATACCCCGAGGGAGGATCAGGATGAGGATACCACGGATGCCACAGGTACCAGGCAGGGACGTGGAAAGGAGGATGTAAATGGGGGTTCGTAGCCGTCAGCGAAAGGGAATGCTACAAATGTCGTGGAAAAAGGGCACACCGCTGCTACGTGTCCCATGACGGCTGACGAGGTAGCGCCTCGCCCCAGGGGAGGGGGGGGGCTGGATCTGCCGAACAACATCAATCCCTGGGCCATCT